AGTGTAACCCGGATATAAGATAGTTGTCGGGACCGGAGAAGAAGTCTCTTATATCCGGGTTTCTCTTATATCCGGTTTGGTCTATTCTATATACATTAACACAGGCTCTAATTTGGGACCAGAGAAAATCTCTCTTATATCCGGGTCTCTTATATCCGGGTTACACTGTATATATATATGTATATATATATATATATATATATATATATATGCTCTCGGGAAATCCGGTTGAGCTCTCTAAAAAGCAGTCGTTCCTACTAATAATGCATGGTTTTTCAAATGGATTGATCCGGGCCACTGCCGTATTTTGTACAGAAAAGGTTAACATTTCTCTTTCTCTCTGCCGTGCGACGATAGCTTAGGTGTAAGATCTCTGACTGATGCCAAACCTGTTGGATTTCGATCACGGCTTGAATCAATTGGCCGTCTAGCTACACTGTGGAGCTGTGATACAGCGAAACAGTGTGTTTAATGGATGACTATATATATATATATATATATATATATATATATATATATATAACAGAAATTCAAAATTATCCCATTTGAATTGCTGTTTAACACTACAAGATTTTCGTTACCGAAATTTGCGTTATAAATCAAATCGTCTAGACAAAGCTTAAACCCAGTTTCATGGTGGTAGAGGGAAGTATTAAATATTCAGATACCAGCAATAGTTTTAATATTTTATATTATTAGGATTCACTTGGATTATATACCTACGGATTATGACCTACATGCATGCATATATATATATATATATATATATATATATATATATATATATATATATATATGAACACAAGTCTCACTGAATAATTTAGACAAGTTTTGTTATTTATTCCCAATAGAAGGCAGATATGATTTTGACATACGACCGTGCGAATGGTAATGGACTCGAGGCTCCACGGCTGTATAAGATTGCGTTCCCAGTCCGAACGCAACCGAGACATCAAAGTTCGCTACTGTTTACCGTTGCGCTGCTGTTTACCGTGGAGACAGAGACTAGAGAAATAAGTATTTATAGACTGCATCTTGGTTTGTAAATTAAACAGAGTCAATTGAAACTTTAAGCTCAATAACATGAAAACAAAATTTATAATTTTGTCCTTGTTTTGTTGTGAGGAACCTGGCTACAAAATTTGTAAAATTATATAAAATTGTGAATATATATATATATATATATATATATATATATATATATATATATATATATATGTGTATGTATATATCATCTATGTTTTGATGTTTATCATAACATCTCATGACGTGGTGGTAAGTGAAGGTTATTAAATTAAAAATAGATAACCTTCACTTACCACCGCCTCATGAGATGCTATGATATATATATATATATGCATGCCTATAAGAGTATAATATATATATATAAATATATATGTAATGTATATATATATATATATATATATATATATATATATGGAATGTAATATGTATATATATATATATAAAAATGTGTGTATATATATATAAGAGTATAATAAATATGTATATATATATATATATATATATATATATATATATATATATATATATATATATATATATATATATATATATATATATATATATATATATATATAAGAGTATTTCAGCAGCAATAATTTTTTCAAATATATTTGACTGAATAATATCAACAAGTTCTGTCTTTCGAATTTTTTTGACTTTCCGAATTTCTAGTTTTATATAATCGGAAAATTTCTCAAAGTTTAAATTTATTTATATTTCATATTTTTTTTCTTCTAATACTTTCGAATATTGCTACATTCGTTTTAAAGGATTGTGTTTTGTTCATGGTTACGTAACTTTTTTTTGCATAATTCCACCGTTCTCACGTTTAATTGAACCAATTCCAAGTCACTCGAGTTGATGTCATCTAAACGGTCCAACAACAATTTCGTATGCGTATTTTTTTTATTTTTGTATATTTTATGCACAATCCAATGTTGCTACATTCCAAAATACTCTGGGAAAAAATAAAATATAAACATTGGTAAATTTACCTGTTATATAAAACAAAGTAATTCCGAAATTGAACAGAACATGCCGATATTATTCAACAAAAATATATGGGACACGGACACACACACACACACACACATATATATATATATATATATATATATATATATATATATATATATATATATATAAAAAAGGAATATGTTGTAGTGGTTCCAACGAGAGAAAAGTATGTATATTAAAAAGAAGAGGGTGCCGCAAACGTTTTTGGTTGTAATGTGGATTTATTGAGAAAAAATATTATACTTTGTTTTACATAATTTCACGACACGTGTTTCTGGTCTCATGACCGTCTTCAGGTAAAAGTGGAGATTTTTACATATTATTAAAAATAATTAATTTTTCTTCATGTTCAATGTGGAATATTCTCGATATGAGACATTCTGTTTGTGTGTTGGCAATCCGAATTTTCTTTCTAGAATTGTCAATGAAGAGTTCTGCGTGAAGGGTCATAAAACAATTAAGGTTTGTCCAGCGAGTAGTTATCGGCATTTAATCTTTTAATGTTTTAGTGACCTCTATGTGCTCTTGGATCTGTTTCTATTTTGGCGTGTTCCTGTCAGCATATATATATATATATATATATATATATATATATATATATATATATATATATATAAAAATATATATATATATACACACACATACACACATACATATATATATATATATATATATATATATATATATATATATATATATATATATAAAATATGTTGTAGTGGTTCCAACGAGAGAAAAGTATGCATATTAAAAAGAAGAGAAGAGAGGTGCCGCAAACGTTTGTTCAATGTTAAATATTCTCGATATGAGAGAATGTCTCATAGCGAGAATATTTAACATTGAACATAAGGAAAAAATTAATTATTTTTAATAATATGTGGAAATCTCCGCTTTTACCTGAAGATGGTCGCGTGACCAGAAACACGTGTCGTAAAATTATGTAAAACAAAGCATAATATTTTTCTAAATAAATCCACATTACAACCAAAAACGTTTGCGGCACCTCTCTTCTCTTTAATTTTTAATATATATATATATATATATATATATATATATATATATATATATAATATCCAAAGTTTTTCTGCATTCTGTTGGGGTTTCTTCTAGACTCGATAAATTACTTAATTATAAATTTCTCTAATCCTCCTAATAATTTCTATCAGTTGTCCTTGCTTGAACCGTGTTCTAATGCTCTGGATGGAGTGGCTTGCGGATAGAAGTCGTGGATCTTGGTTGCACAGTCCTATGGGTAAGTGAAACTCGGATGAGTTCTAACACGGAATGTGTGATCGAGCGGTGCTATATCGAATCTAATTCGCTAAGGCACCGTCACCGATGCCCGTTTGTACAGTTGGTATGACGTTTGCTTGATAAGGGAACTCTCCTGGTTTCAGTTCTCAGTAGTGTATGTGCACTTCTACACTCGATGAATTACTTAATTATATATATATATATATCTATTTTGTGAATTTGTAGGAGCGTTGAATTGGCTCGTGATCATGATTCCAATATAATAAATTATACCCATGACATATTAGCGTTTGCGCCTTTAAAATTTCATATATAAATATATATATATATATATATATATATAATAAATTTGTAATTATTTTGTATTTATATATATATATATATATATTACACACACATACACACACATATATATATATTACACACACACACACACAAATATATATATATATATATATATATATATATATATATATATATATATATATATATATATATATATATATTTGATTAAATTGGATCACGAACAGATAAATTTTAAAGTCGGAATTTTCGAACTTTAAGAGATTTCACTTGTTATTATTTTGTTGTGATATTATTCCTCAAATTTGATGAACAGGCCCATTAAATATACATAACATCGGAGAGCCGAGTTCGAATTCCAGTTGAATCCATTACATTCACTTACGTGCTTATACGCTTAGGAAATGTATGAATCCTCGTCTTCTTCCCACCAACTATAGGTAAATTGCAAAATAGACCGGGTTCTCTAGCTTTGGATGGCAACTTCTCTAGCGGAGTAAGAACTGGTAACCCAATGCGGGGGAAAAATCTGCCTCATCACTGATGTATATTTCGATACATGATCGTCTAAGCGTGTATCACGCATGGCACATAACTGACTGAGGGTCCAGAGGCCTGCGTTTTCTTGCTGGTGCGAGCAGATTTTATTGGCTGCTTATTTTTCATGAAAGTAACTGACTGAATATAAGAAACATAGGTGGACAATCTTTCGATTAAACTATATATATATATATATATATATATATATATATATATATATATATATATATATATATATATATATATATAGATAGATAGATAGATAGATAGATGGAGAGATGTGATATACATAGATTTCACGGTACATTTTTAATATTATATATATTTTTATACATATATATATATATATATATATATATATATATATATATATATATATATATATATATAGATAGATAGATATTGCATATTTATACACTATTTATACAGGCTATCATATATTAATATGTAAGTATGTAATTTTCATGAATTATTAATATATTTATATATATTCAAATATATATACATACTAATACACATATAGGTACACACTCTTATATATATATATATATATATATATATATATATATATATATATTTAGATATATATAATATATATATATATATATATATATATATATATATATATATATATATATATATACCTAGATATATAGATATTATATACATAGATTTAACGATGATACATACAGACATATATATATATATATATATATATATATATATAGAGAGAGAGAGAGAGAGAGAGAGCGAGAGAGAGTGTGAGAGAGTGAGATGTATTCAAATACAGATGTAGATAGATAAGAAGATATATAGATAAATATATAGATAAATAGATATTATCAGAAATTGATAGATAGCTAGATAGATAGATAGATAGATAGATAGATAGATACTGCATTATTTATGCCCGCTGTTATATATTGATATGTATGTATCTTTTCTTAATTATGAATATATTTATATTTATTCATATATTAACACATACTAATTTAAATATAGGTACACACAACCCCAGATACCCACACATTTATATATGTATATTTAGTCTTATATATATATGATTATTACTTATAGAATATATATATATATATATATATATATATATATATATATATATTTTTAATCATCGTATATACAATCTTATAATTTCACTCAGTTGTAGGCATTCGTTGATATATATTACTTTCATAAATATATTTATATCACCATCTATAAATGTATATATAACGTTCCATATAGCTTTGATATATATATATATATATATATATATATATATATATATATATAGACACGCATATATATATATACACATATATATAAATATATATATATATATATATATTAAAAAATTTTTTGTCTACATGTTAACACACACACGAACACACACACATATTTATTTATATATATTTGTGTGTCATATTTACACCTATATACGCATGCATTGTTTCATACTGGCTTATTTCTTTTATCGATTTATATATATATATATATATATATATATATATATATATAAAATGTAGAAAATAAATATATATTCTCACATACGTACCTTCTTAATGATTCATTCGTACGCATTTCTTTTTATAAAGATCGGAACGTATAAACATACTTATATATATATGTATTTCGATATATATATATATATATATATATATATATATATATATATATATATATATATATATATTATTACAGATATGTCATTGTTATTTTCATATGTCAGCTTCTCATACAGTTTACTTCAATTTTCCATCTACCTTACATTTACATCTCTGGAGCAAATTACAATTTTTTTTCTCTTCTAAAAACGCGAAAACAAAATTGTCCTTTTTTTTTATTTCCTCGTTTTGAACTTCTCTGTTTCCCTCGCTTTTAATTTAAGAACAATTTTTCACTAGTTGCATGATGGGAAATAATGTCATACAATTCAAGACACTGATGGATCGGGTCGGTGTGAAGCCATGAATTTCGTTTCGTTTCAATTCGCACCCTGCCTTTTCTTTTCGTCTCTTCTCCTTTTTTCATTTTTTTTCTCTTTTCATTTTATATTTATTTTTCTTATGCTAAAGTATTTCTTATTTTAGACGAAACCAAAAGACATGGAAACTATCCACACACCTACGCACACTATGAAAAACACCTAGACCGGGACGATAATAAGTATATTGTAAAAAAAAAAAAAAAAAAAAATGAAATGAAATGCCGGAAAATATTGAAGAATTTTTTTTATATTTTATTTTTTTCGGTACCACCATAATAAATTTTTCTTGCACTTCGTAATACAACCTGCTGTAAAAACTTGATGTATAGTAATTCCTGGTTTTGAGTATTATTTCGATATCCTCAATAACGACAAATTGTTGCTACGAAAGCACACTGCGTTTAAAACATTTTTGTAATGTCTATAATATATCGAATATTTCTTGCTTTCTCAATAACAAGAAAAGAAAAAGAATTCAAATAAATGAAAATAGGTAAACAAATTATGTGCTGGTAGCGTAACACAGTGCTGGTAGTGAACTCGAAGATTTACGTTCAGATTTCAGCCTCGCAAAATTAATTTTCAGAATTTAAGGAATCAATCTATTCGCCCCATATCTATGGGTTAAATATCACTGCTGAGTCGACTTTCTAGATTTAAGTGGCAACCACTCTAGTAGAAGCATGATTCTAAATTCAACACCACGAAGGATGTAACTGGAAAGCTCTCCACTATATTACCCCAAATAATAATTAGGAATTAACAGAGTAAAGGCTTTTGTGTAGAGCCATGATCGCCTATGTCCTGATAGAAGAAAGAATAATTTGAAAACCCTTCAGAATTTATGGAGTCAATCTATTCTCCCCATATCTATGAGTTAAATATCAATGCAGACTGGAATCTTTAAGTAGCAATCAGTTTAGAAGAAGCATGTCAATGCGGTTTCTGAAGAAAAACAAACTATTTTGGTAAAGCGAAAAGGTACCATTTCACATCACGAAAATGCAAGACTGCCTGTTGCAAAACAAACCTTGTAAAACTTTAAATATTGATATGATGGAATAACCTGCCACCGGCATGTGTGGCGGCACTATAGATGGTAACTACCTATAAGTATCCGTTAGGACAGTGGAGAGGAAAAACGAGCTGGGATCTGCGAGACTAGCAGCCTTCCGATAGAAGGAAGCACACAACTGTACTGACTTGCGACGACCGTGCGCATAACTATTACTTCTTTGCTTGTTGTACTGGTTTCAACAATAAACCTGTTACTATTTATATTGCAGTCTGCAGGGACTGCCATATCAATAAGGAGGCATTATTTTTTCTTTGTGGACTTTAATAACAATATCTGGGCGGTTGGCTTTGATTGTTCTGTCAGTGTGTATTGTGTAGTCCCATAGAATTGTAACAGGTCCTATCTCCGTAATCGGGTCTGGGTGGTGTTCATACCAGTTTCTTTCAGTTACCTTCCCGTAGAAGTTGCAGATTTTCCAGTGCAGATATTGGCCCACTCTGTCATGTCGGGTTTTATATTCAGTGGGTGCCAATATCGTGCAACCTGATACAAGATGATCAATTGTTTCTGGATATTTCTCACAGAATCTGCATTTTGGTCTAACCCAATATTTTAGTATATGTGCTTGATAATTTCTAGTTAACAAGCATTGGTCCTGTGCAGCAAGGATAAAACCTTCAGTTTCATCTTTCAACCCTGCACTACGTAGCCACTGATTGGTACGGGTTTTGTCTACGTCAGCTTGTTTGGTACGGGCAGAGTATTGGCCATGAAGCGGTTTATCTTGCCATTGTTTCTGTATATGGTCGGTTGCATTTGTCTTTACTCGCTTTTTTAAATCTTTTGCAGCTTCAGCCGGTGTATTGTGCTTTACGTGTATTTCTGAGCCCATTTGAAACTCCATTTTGAATTTGTCGGCTTCGTTTATTACGGACTAAAGACGCTTATTATTATTATTATTATTATTATTATTATACAGGAACTAACCCACTAACGCATAAAGTTCCCTTAAAATGTTAGTCCTTTTTGCCTAATCTACCTTACTAGTTCATCGTAATCTTAGTACTGTCGATATATATATTTCTCTTACTCTGGTGGGAACCAAGGTTACAGATTCTAAGAGCTCTTATATAAAATCCTACAATTAGTAGCTGCGCCTATTATCCTGTAAACGTCATTTGTATTCCAACAATTTCTTTTCTCACCCTTCCCACCTGTGGAACTCCTTTCCGATTTCTTGCTTCCCTATTAATTACAATCCTCAAAATTTTAAATGCACCGTCAATCGCCATCTGTCTTCTTAAATTCTGTTCCTTTTTTGCCCTTTCCTCAATCAATCTCCATTTTAAATCTCCGCATTCATTCTCACTTCTTGTCACACATCCTGGGTATGACGATTAAACTACATCCGCGTCCTGGGTATGACGATAAACTACGTCCAGCAGCAAGGCCTCTGATCAGGAGGATATGAGGAACGTGGAACCACATCTTAATTGCTGAGGTTCCCAAGTCCATTCTGACCCGGGGTGATAGCACCTGTTAAGGTCACAAGTATGGGCAAATAGTTAACCCCCAAACTGGGGTCAAAATGCTATGACAGTATAAAATACATTTTTATACTAGAATGACCAGCTTTATATTTTCAGAGTAAAAAAAATTGTAGCAATAAAATTTTCTAAATAAACAAAAATATTACCGTCAATAAATAATTTTTTGTAAAAGAAATTGATAATATACCCAAGAAAATTAAATTTCAGCATTAAATGACCCATAAGGAGTTGATATGCCACTAAACAAACAACAAACGCACAAACACATGTATATTTTCGTGACATCTCCAGAGAAGGTAGGTTGTTAAAGAAAAATTTTATATTTTTACCACATATTCTTACCTCTTCGAAGATCCTGTGACAAAAGTTTCATTTTGTGGACAAACTTCTCTCTAGGATTAAAACATTTTTTAGAACAACTTGATATGCCGAAGTCGATTTGGGAATCTTATAAATTTACTACTTAAGAAAATATCAATCTGAAACTGTATACCCTTATATTTTGTGCGAATAAACGACTTTTGTTTCAAATAATTTAGTTGCTATTTGGCTTTAAAATGTTTCTTTTTTTTCGTATGGTTTACGATATCTTTAACTGAACAAAGTAAGTAAACAAAATTTCACTAAAGTAAGGATTCTCTTAGATTATTTTAATTCTCAAGTCCAATTAATGAAAACGCAACACAATTTGTTCAGGTGAAGCCATTCGAATTACCGTATCAACTCGCGTATCAAGCGACTTTTGAAGACCTAATTTTCAAGCTAATTTTAAGGGGGTCGCATAATACACGAGATATAAAATTACAGTATATACTGCTGGCCTTGGACCAAACTATATGATATGTCCCGGAAAGGGATATATTTGAGCGAAGTAGCTAAGTGGCTTTGGCTACGATAACCAAATAGAATACGGTAGCAGTCATCGACTGGTACGCGTCGCAGTCGCAGGTAAGAAGTGTAGATCAATGGCGTAGTCCAATGGGCGTCGTTATAGACTTAGCTCTCAGACTAAGGCTCTGGACTCTTCTGACTCTCCTACATGTCTGTCGATATTTGTGACGGACACCAGCCAATCACACTCCGGTGCGTGGGAGCAGAGGTGTATGCATATTCCATTATATCACTTACTGTAGTCAAAT